TCAGCAGTGTCAGATCTTCTCAATGCTTAGGCGGCTATAGAGATCTCTAAAACTTCAAAATGTTCATTCAAATTGCGTTCTGCTTATCAAACAGAATATCGCTGCAATCTGTGGGCCCCCAGTTTGAAATCTCTGCTACCAATTTGCAGCCTCTCCTTAATGGGATATGAGAGAGCATTTTTCTGTTTGAGCAGAAAAGAAATGAGGAACTGAGAGAAAGAACCCTGAGATAAACTCCTAAGAAGGTGCTATTTAGGTTGAATAACTCAGAATTTTGTTGTAATGTTGAGTAGGGGATATACATGTATGTATCGCTGATTCACTTTGCTGTAGAAATTACTGTAGAAATTTGCTGTAGAAATTAACACAGCATCGTAAAACTACTCCAGTAAAAATTAACTTTTTTGGAAAATGAATGCAATGATGGACTAGTATACACCGCAGTATAGTACTGCAGAGTTCTGAAAGCTGCTGAATTTCCACACTATAGAGACAGGTAGACACTTCCATGCTACTAAGCTTCCTATTGGTTGTGCCTCTGTCTGGGGACCACAGAGAGGCTCCAAGAGCTCCTGGTATGGAGAGAGTGGGGGGTGGGTGGAACCCATGAGTAACTATAAGTTAAATTCTTTATTGCACTTGACAAATTATTAGTTCCTAAACCACAATGTTCAGAACCTTAAATATTGATTTAAGGTCTTCTGGAACCTAGAATTCTTGAACAAAAATATGAAAAATAGTATTTTACTTCATTCTTAGGTTTTCCTACCTAGAAGCCTCTAGAATACATTTTACCTATTTTTTTAATTTAAAGAAATCACCAGAATTATGCAGGTCTGAATCTATATTCACTGATTTTGCCTAACTGTCAGCTTTTCTGATTATATTTTCTCCCACAATTTCTTTGATTATTGCTGCTGTTTATTCGGTTTTCACGTTTTCTCCTTTGCAGACCACAACATATGTACCCGATCTGCTAGATCTGACATCACACCTCTCTTTCTTTCTTCTCTAATCACATTTACTGCTTTTGGCACTTGTTTATTAATTTCATTATATTAAGTGATTTTCTTTTCAGTTTCTCTAAACTCTGAATGAAAACATAAGTGAGATGTTTTCCAACATTTCCTATGTCTATCACCAATTCAATAGACATAAACTTGAGTGAACTGTGGGAGATAGTGGAGGACAGGGAAACCTGGCGCGCTTTAGTCCATGGGGTCACAAAGAGCTAGACACAACTTAGTAACTGAACAACAGCAACAGTAACGACTTTATTTCGCAGACAGTCATTGGATCTTTTTTTCATAATGCTCACCTTATTCTGAGTTATTATATTCTCACACATCCATTGACTTTTTTGCTACATATTAAACTTTGAAGTAGGAAGTTAGGGAGCTTTCCCCAACATTCAAATGTGTGATGGAACTAGATAGATATTGAAAGTGTTAAATACTTTAAGATCTAATGAAGGAAGATAAGGGAAGTATTTTATTTTCTCTGGTTCTGTTTTGCCAGGCTACAGACAACCTGAGCAGAAAGTCTGATGACTGAACACAGTGTTTCTTCTGCCTGATGCTGTGACAGCTTGATAGAAATGAAGTCATGTCCTCCCTACCCAGTTGGATAACTGTCCTCAGCAGCAGAACTTCTAATTTATTCAATGAGCCACTGCATAACATGAAAGCCAAGTGTGAGCATCTCCCTGGGATCTCTGTTCTGGAACCTGACCATCTCTCCACAGGCTCCAAATCCTCCCCTCTCCTGGTTCAAGAGGCACCCCTCACCTCCAGGCTCCAACTCTTCAGATTATCCTAAGAACAATGGAAAGTAATTAAAAAATTTCATCACAGGAATGATAGGGTCAAGTCTGCACTTTAGAAAGATCATTCTTGCTGAAGAGTGGAGAATTGTTAAAGCAAGATGTTGCACATAGGTTTCTTTAGACATTGCTGAGAAGATCGAGGAGAGAGCAGGTGGAGACCGGGGACAAGGCAGCATTGAGGAAGTGGAGGAGAAGACAGGTTGAGAAGCTCCAAGAGAATCATCGTGACTTAGTGTTTGATTGGATGGGAAGGAGGGGAGAGAGAGAAGCCAAGGATAATACCCTAATTTAAAGCTATGGGCAACTGAGTAGATGGTCTTCCCATCCAGAGATAAGGAACTTACGAGAATGAACATGTTTTAGCAGTGTGTGAAAGTCGCTCAGTCGTATCTGACTATTTGCGACCCCGTGGACTACAGGCTCCAAATCCTCCCCTCTCCTGGTTCAAGAGGCACCCCTCACCTCCAGGCTCCAACTCTTCAGATTATCCTAAGAACAATGGAAAGTAATTTAAAAAATTTCATCACAGGAATGATAGGGTCAAGTCTGCATTTTAGAAAGATCATTCTTGCTGAAGAGTGGAGAATTGTTAAAGCAAGATGTTGCACGTAGGTTTCTTTAGACATTGCTGAGAAGATCGAGGAGAGAGCAGGTGGAGACCGGGGACAAGGTAGCATTGAGGAAGCGGAGGAGAAGACAGGTTGAGAAGCTCCAAGAGAATCATCGTGACTTAGCGTTTGATTGGATGGGAAGGAGGGGAGAGAGAGAAGCCAAGGATAATACCCTAATTTAAAGCTATGGGCAACTGAGTAGATGGTCTTCCCATCTAGAGATAAGGAACTTACGAGAATGAACATGTTTTAGCAGTGAGTGAAAGTCGCTCAGTCGTGTCTGACTATTTGCGACCCCGTGGACTATACAGTCCAGGGAATTCTTCAGGCCAGACTGCTGGAGTGGGTAGCCTTTTCCCTCTCCAGGGGATCTTCCCAGCCCAGGGCTTGAACCCAGGTCTTCTGCATTGTGGGTGGATTCTTTACTGCTGAGCCACAAGGGAAGCCCTGTTTTAGCAGAGGATGGTAAATAATACACTCAAGGGTATGTCCACACTGGGTTATCTGTGGACCATCTCAGCGAAAAGTGAAACTAGTCAGAAGATACACTTTACTAGAAGAATTACAGTGGTCCAATCGTTGAATAAATCATGTAAGTGTATATGCAATAATAATGATATATCATCAAAAATCTATATTTTGACTTGAAGGGATACCTGTAATACAGTGTGAGTTTAACCTATAGTGCCTAGACTACAAATAATGTATACAATATGATCCCAGTTTTCTAAATGACCCAGTATCTATCTACCTATCTACTTACCTATCTTCTTATCTACCTGATCATCTATAAAGTATACACACCCAGAAATGTTAACAGCAACTATTGCTAAATGTAAAATTTTATGAACATTATTTTCTCAATGTTCCTTGCCAGTATTTTCTAACCACTTTTTAAAAATATTTATTTATTTATTTGGCTGCACCGGGTCTTAGTTGAGGCAAGCAGGTTCTTTGACCTTCATTGGGGCAGGTGAGTTCTTTAGTTGTAACATGCAGAATCCAGCTCCCTGACCAGGGATCGAACCTGGGCCCTGTGCATTGGGAGCACAGGGTCTTAGCCACTGGGCCACCAGGAAAGTTCCTTTAACCATTTTTTGTAATTAGTGTGTGTTTGTCACTCAAGTAAGTGTATATGCAATAATAATGATATATCATCAAAAATCTATATTTTGACTTGAAGGGATACCTGTAATACAGTGTGAGTTTAACCTATAGTGCCTAGACTACAAATAATGTATACAATATGATCCCAGTTTTCTAAATGACCCAGTATCTATCTACCTATCTACTTACCTATCTTCTTATCTACCTGATCATCTATAAAGTATACACACCCAGAAATGTTAACAGCAACTATCGCTAAATGTAAAATTTTATGAACATTATTTTCTCAATGTTTCTTGCCAGTATTTTCTAACCACTTTTAAAAAATATTTATTTATTTATTTGGCTGCACCGGGTCTTAGTTGGGGCAAGCAGGTTCTTTGACCTTCATTGGGGCAGGTGAGTTCTTTAGTTGTAACATGCAGAATCCAGCTCCCTGACCAGGGATCGAACCCGGGCCCTGTGCATTGGGAGCACAGGGTCTTAGCCACTGGGCCACCAGGAAAGTTCCTTTAACCATTTTTTGTAATTAGTGTGTGTTTGTCACTCAGTCGTGTCCGACTCTTTATGATCCCATGGACTGTAGCCCACTAGGCCCCTCTGTCCATGGCATTCTCCAGGTAAGAATACTGGAGTGGGTTGCCATTCCCTTCTCCAGGGGATATTCCTAAACCCAGGGATCGAGCCCAGGCCTCCTGCACTGCAGGCAGATTCCTTACCATCTGAACCATCAGGGAAGCCCCAATGAGTACACATAGCCTTTACAGTAGGAAAAGTATAATAAAAGGAAAACGTCAAATGTAGTATATCCTTGATAGTAAGACTTCGGTATTATTCACCCTCACCAGACCCCATGTATCCAGCAGAGCATGCTTGTAAATACTGAATAGTCATCAGCTTCCCAAGGCATAAGGCCAGGGAGGAGGAGTCCATGATAAAGGGGACTGAGCAGAGAACCAGGTTGCAGTTATGGAAACAATGGGACATATGAAGACCTCCTCATTAAAAGTAGTGACTTCAGATGAATTTCTTTTCTTAAAATTTTTTATTTTGACAATTTCAGATTTGCAGACATGTTGTAAGGAAAGTCCAAATAAATAATTCACACTCTTCACCCAGACTTGTATCTGTTTTTACTACCACATTTTACTACATTTTCTTTCCATTCTACTTCAAGGAGATTCAGACACAGAGAACAAGTCGGTGTTAAGATGTTCCATTTCCTAAATAATCCTACCATCATTCCCCTCTGTGAGAACCCCTTTGGCGGGGACCTTCCTCTTTCAGAAGTTACTCCCTTCCCCTCCTAGCCCCTCCCGCTCCCTTTGCCAAGAACACTGAACAGGAAGAAGTGTTTGCTCAGGGATGCTGGTGAGACAGAGATGATGTAAGGAAGGAAGGACACTGCTCACACACAAGGAGCCTGTTCTCACTGGAGGGGCCTCCACCCACCATACCAGGCACAAAGCCACTGGAAAGATCCCCACCTGCAGACCAGCCCAGCCTTCCAGGGAGACATCAGGTGAGTCTCTGCCTGTCCTCTCTATACAGATTGTTGGCTCTGCTCCCATGCAAAGGACCTCAGGGACACGTCCTGTCTGTCGGACTCCTGGCATAGTTTTTTGAAGGTGACAACTTCTGAGAGCTTAGACCGTATGACCAAGACTACAAGTGAAAGGCTCAGGGAGCAAGCATCATTTCAAGGTTAAGGGTTCTCAAAGTCCAGGAGAGGGTTTATTCATCAGACAGAGTTTAAGAGCTGCAGATGGGAACAGGATTGAGGCGGAGAGCTAGGGATGGCAGAGGAGAGGCAGCACATCAGGTTCAAAGCTTCCCAAGGAGCACAAGCTCCTCCCTGTCTTCTGGGTATGTGCTGGGTCTTCTCCTTGTGCCTATCAATGTCAAGCCGGGCTTCCCAACCCCTAAGGGTTGCTCTGAGAGTCAGGCACATTCCCTGCTGGAAAGAAGCCTTGTCCTAGATTCCGATGGTGATATTGTGCTCTCCTGCCCACAGGCCTCCTCATCTCCTGCATCATGAACTGGCACATGATAATCTCTGGGCTTATCGTAGTGGTGCTTAAAATTGTTGGAATGACCTTATTTCTGCTTTATTGTGAGTATCTGATCAACCTTTTACCGCAACTCAGATTGTACTGTTCTTGACCCTTTCCCTAGGATGCAGGGTTGAATATAAAGGTTAAATGCTCAAGACTTTCCAGCTGAGGGCAATTGACTGCCCTTCTCATTCCCAGACACACACACAATAGGCAGAGTCCCTTGGTCTACCTTGGAGACACAAAACAGAGCAGTGTCTGATGATTAGACTCTCACACAAAATTTTTGCTACTAGAGTATTCGTTGGGTAATCTGAACTGAAATACTCTGCAGTGCGTGTTACAGTTTCTAATTTGAAAATACAGCTCCAGTCCAACCCAGTGATAAACTGTGGGGCGTGCTAAGTGGCTTCAGTTGTGTCTGACTCTTTGTGACCCCATGGACTGTAACTCGCCAAGCTCCTCTCTCCGTGGGGATTCTCCAGGCAAGAATATTGGAGTGGGTTGCCTCTCCAGTGCCCTCCTCTAGGGGATCTTCCCAACCCAGGAATCGAACCCAGGTCTTTTAAGTCTCTTGCATTAGCAGGTATGTCCTTTACCACTAGTGCCACCTGGAGCTACTTAAAGGTTAATGGGGTTTTACTGGGCAAGATAGTTTCCTTTATGTACACAGAGACTAATTCATCCAAATGTTCAGAAAAAGAGGCCTCATATCAAAAGATTTTACCACAGTTGCAGCAAGTAAAATCTTCTCCAGCCTCAGAAGCCTGTGGGGAAGATAAATGAGGAAGGAAATGTGATTTGGAGGCAACAGTTGGGTAAGAGGTATCAACCATATGGCCCAATCTCGAGGTGCAGTTTCCACCACATAAGAGAGCAGGATGAGAATGAGTGAATATATCCACAGGAAACACATGCCCACCTTGGCTGACCCGAGTCAGAGAGCTCAACCTGTCCCACTGACAGGTGTTATGTCCCACCAGCCCCAGAGTAACGTCTGTCTATAACACTCACTGCACAGCCACCTTTGGGGCTGAGTCAACCGCTGATTTTCTTTGCAGTCCCACAGATTTTTGGCAAACATAATGTCATCTTCATTCCCACAGAGAGCTCTGGAACAGGTAATGTACATGAAAATAACCTCCTCTCCCCCCTCCAGGTTCTTCTGTGCTTAAGTCTTAAAGACCTTTCTCAAAGCCTCCTTCCCCTAGACATTCTTCTGTAGAATGAGTTTGTCAAGAGCTGCTAATTGTTAAAAAGATGAATGAGTTCCAAAACTCCTATGTACAACATAGTGACTGTAAGTAATAACAGTGTATTGTATGCAAGGAAGTTGCTAGAAGAGTAGATGCTCAATGTTCTCACGACACATACAAAAAAGATGATTTTGAGAGGTGATGGAGGAGTTACTGACCTTACTGTGTTGATAATTTTGCAATAATACATGTATTAGATCATCATGTTGTATATTCAAACTTATACAATGTTATGTGTCAGTGATATCTCAATAAAGCTGGAAAAGTAAAATAAATGCAGCACACCCAGAAAAACAGAGATCTTCTAATTAATTTTCTTACTTTTAGAGATGAGAAACCAAGACTAGACTTGATGACATTTCAGATCCTCTTTTCCTTTTGGGAATGAGGATGATTTGTGTATAACTAGTGTAATGTGATATGAAAGTACTTTATAAACCCTGTCATTTAAAGAATTGTTTAACGAAACCCATGCTCCACAAAAATCATCAAAAATTATATTCAGTACCTTTTTTTGGTGCTAAGCAGTATGCTAGACCAAACACAGAAGGAGACTGAAAACAGGAGAAACTAGTCAACTATCATTCTATAAAGCACAAAGTCCAATGCCAGAAGCTATGCGGATAAAAACATGTCAGGCACGGCTCTCCTTATGAACCCCACCTCCTTTTGAAGCTTTTCCAAGGATTTCCTTCTCACTTGCTCTTAATACAAACTTATTACTAGCCACATCTTTATCAGAAAGATAATTTCTTCTTCATCTTTGTCGCAACTGAGGCACCCAGTAAGTACAGTGAGCCAAAAGGAGGAAACGCTCATGAAATATGTATACAGTTCTGTTCAGTTATAATCCCCAAGTTGTTTCTAATGAAATCCAGGTTATGCTATATTACAAAGAGCCTTTGAATAGGGGACTAAAATAAAAAGTGAATGCTGGCTTGCACATTTTATATATGATTTTAAGTAGCTAGTTGGCACCTGGGTAAACTAAACTGGTCTTCAACCACCATGGACAAACAACTGGTCCAGGAAAAGTCTGATCAACCTCTGGAGCCACTATAACCACCCACTCCAACAGCCAGTGTTCCCCCAAAATAATGAGGCCTCTTGGAGGCCTACTGATTCTCCTTTTATGTTTAAAGAGATAAATGGACACTTCTCTGCCCACAGGAAATCTCTGGGGACTCCCCTGGCAGTCCAGTGGTTAAGACTCTGTGCTTCCACTGTGGGGGGCATGGATTCAACCCCTGGTCAAGGAAATAAGATCCTACATGCCATGTGGCATAGCCAAAAATCAAAAGAGAAACCTCTGGAATGTCCATCTGCCTCCTTGTCTGGCAACATCCTCTAGTTCTGAATCTTGTTCCAGTTAGCACAGTCCTTAGAACTGATAATTGCTGATGAGAGAGAGTCAAGAGCTGCCCATCAGGACCATGGGTTTTCACATAGGGTTTAAGGCACACCCCAGCAGTGGAGAGAGAAGCAAAGGTGCTATGTGGAGCCTGGAGAGGCAGCACTCCAGACAGCTCTTTGGGGAAAACACTGTAAAGGGTACAGATGAGAAAGAACAGGGAGGTTTCCTTTCTGGTACTAAATGCATCTATTCCTCTTCCTTTCTCCTGCTCTTTTTCTTGGCATCTCACACGGTCAAAAGTATATGTGTGTGTGCTAAGTCACTTCAGTCGTGTCCGACCCTTTGGATTATAGCCCACCAGGCTCCTCTGTCCATGGGGATTCTCTAGACAATTATACTGGAGTGGGTTGCCGTGCCCTCCTCCAGGGCATCTCCCAAATCCAGGGATCGAACTCGCATCTCTATATCTCCTGCATTATCCAGCGGGTTCTTTACCACTAGAGCCACCTGGGAAACCCATCAAAGGCATATATGAGACCCCAAAAAGAAAACACAAAATAGGACCTGAGGCAGGTCAAATAATAGTAGTAGTTGGATGTAGTTCACGTTCCAAAGAAAAAAATCTGAAAAATTCCAACACAGAGTAGCAAAGAGTCCCTTATTAATTCCACTGTCCATTCTGGACATCTGCTGTGACATTTGTGTATCGCATCCATCATCCGGCTATCTTCAGGTTTTCTTTTCATTTCAGTTCCACAGATTTTGGGGAATGGCACTGTCAGCTTCACTCCAACAGAGAGCTATGGAACAGGTACAGCGCATGCTTATAACCCTCTCCACCTCCAGGTTCTTAGGTAGTGAATTCTTAGAGACTTTTCCCATTGTCTCCTTTCTTATGAAACCGTTTGACCGAATGGGGCCATAGTGACCTTATCATCATTCCCTTCATGTTACAGACAGGGAAACTGGGGTCAAAGTGGATGAAATTTCTTCCTGGATTGAAGAGAATTGTATTGATATAATAATTCTAAAGAAACCCACTTCCTACTGTCTTATGATTCGCTCCCAAGATGCATACCCAAAACCCCACTAATCTCATCCTCTCTTTTCTTGGATTTCTGTAGTCTGCCCCAAGGGGTGGGATTTTCATCAAGGAAGATGTTTTTTCTTGTCCAAATCGGAATTGCCTTGGAACAAGAGCATGAACTTTTGCAAAGAAAAAGGATCCACGTTGGCCATCGTCAACACACCAGAGAAACTGGTGAGCCCATGGAATGGTACAGAAAAGCAGCATCCCTTCATCAGCCTCACTGGGTGGGGTTGAGTTGGTGGGGCAATTTGATTTGTGGAGCAGGGAATGGGTGGAGGTGGGATGGAGACGGGGTGGGAGGCTCTTCTCAATAGCAGTGGGGTGTGTTCCTCAGGCCCATTTGAGCTAATGAAACCCACACTCTATGGTCTCTCCCATGATCAGTGTGTTGGGGAGGGGCCAGGACATTTAAAATACAGAGAATGACTAAATGAGCCAATGTGTATAAAGCTTTTAAAACTACGGAATTCTTCACAGACATGAGCTGTTAATATTTGATCCCAATCAGCCTAATAAGTAAGGAAGTTTTTAAATAACAAAATTAGTAATATGCAAAACAAAGAATCAGATCATAGTATTGGGATTGCAGTGTGCAATTATGAGAGTAAAAATAGCTCACACTATGTAAAAAGCTTAATTATCTCTTTTTATCATAATAATAATTCTGAGGAGTTATAGTTCTTTATATTTTATATATGGGAACACTAGGAAAGCACCTATACTCCAATAAAAATTAGATTTTAAGAAGAGAATTTTCATGCTTAAATAAATAGAATAAAATTAAAATATAAAAAACTAGGGCACAGGAAAATAATTTGATCAAGGTCATATACCTAGTAAATGACAGCACATGGAATTGAATTGAGATCTCTCTAAGTCCAAAACCCACACTCTAATCAATTTTAGGGCTTCCCAGGTGGTGCTAGTGGTAAAGAGTCTGCCTACTGGTGCAGGAGACAGACGCAAGAGATGCAGGTTCAATCCCTGGGTTGAGAAGATCTCCTGGAGGAGGAAATAGCAACCCACTCCAGGATTCTTGCCTGGAGAAGCCCCAGGGACAGAGGAGCCTGGTGGGCTACAGTCCAGGGAGTTGCAAAGAGTCGGATACGATCGAGCAACTGAATTTTAGGCCATAATTTTAGTTTACAGTTGCCTCTCCTTCAAACCCTACAGATTTGCTGAGCACTAGACATTGTGCTGCACACAGTATTCTAGCTTCTTTCTGCTCTTCCCTTCACCCTTCTTCTAAAAAGCCCTGTGGTGGTGAAGAGTTTATGAGAGCATCTCTGTGAATCTCAGTAGTAGGTGCCCAACAGTGAGCAGGGATCATGATGATACAGCTCTTCTAGGGCTATGGACCCAAGTGGGAAGGGAAAATGCCTTGAAGAAGATAGAAAACCAAGAGCAAGACAGAGGGCAGAAAAGAGAAAAAGGAAAGAAGAGGGCAATGGGAAAGGACGTCCATAACCTCTTTTCCTCTACTAACCCCTTAAGAGTTGATACATTTCAAAAGCCATCCTTGGCATTCTCTGCCACTTACACTCATGCTAACCCCAGAAAAAGGTCATCACACCAATGGCTTGCCGATGACTCTCATATCCGTATCTTCAGTTCCCTTTCCTAGACCAGACAGTGAATCACATTCTACTTTGATGTCTCAAAACCACCACAAACATACCATGCTTAAAACTTAAATCAAGTTTTACCCCAACTGCTCCTCCTCTTGTATCCCAAATACTGGTGAGTCATCATGTCAACCGAAATGGAACACCGACAGTTTTCTTGAACTTCGCCTTTTCGTTTCCCCCCTAAATTTTCTGCTAACCAAGTTCCTTCCCTGCTATCTCCACAGCAAATCATTCAGCTCTCCCCTGGATTTCTTTGGGATTCTTCTAATTTCTCTCCTTGCCCCTAGTTTTGCCACTTCTTACCTATTCTCCACAGATCTGACCTACTAACTGGTCTAAGGCTCTAAACTATCTGTGCCATTTTCCAAAATGAAGTGAGTTATAGTTCGGTTTCCCTAGCATGACATGTAAGCCTTGTATGGTCCAGCCTCTGCCTTCTCTCCAATCCTGTGTCTGCACCAACCCAATTCAGCATCTTGTAGTTCCACAGATGCTCCAGCCTGTGGCGCTAGTGGTAAAGAGCCTGCCTGCCAGTGCAGGAAACTAAGAGGAGCGGGCTTCGTCCCTGGGTTGGGAAGATCCCCTGAAGGAGGAAATGGAAACCTACTCCAGTATTCTTGCCTGGAGAATCCAATGGACAGAGGATCCTGACGGGCTACGGTCCATGGGGGTCACAAAAAGTCGGACACAACTGAAGTGACCGAGCATGCACGCACACTCTGCAGTCTGCCTGTGATCTAATTACTTCCTTTTCCAGGAAGTCCAATCCTGACCACTACCCCCACCCCACCCCCCGCCACACACACACCCTGCTCCTAGCACTTGCCTTACCATAGCTATCTCCCCAAATCCATCTCACATATTGCCTCATATACAGTCTTTATATAGACTCCGAAATCCCATAAACAAATCATTCAGCTCTCCCCTGGATTTCTTTGGGATTCTTCTAATTTCTCTCCTTGCCCCTAGTTTTGCCACTTCTTACCTATTCTCCACAGATCTGACCTACTAACTGGTCTAAGGCTCTAAACTATCTGTGTCATTTTCCAAAATGAAGTGAGTTATAGTTCGGTTTCCCTAGCATGACATGTAAGCCTTGTATGGTCCAGCCTCTGCCTTCTCTCCAGTCCTGTGTCTGCACCAACCGAATTCAGCATCTTGTAGTTCCACAGATGCTCCAGCCTGTGGCGCTAGTGGTAAAGAGCCTGCCTGCCAGTGCAGGAAACTAAGAGGAGCGGGCTTCGTCCCTGGGTTGGGAAGATCCCCTGAAGGAGGAAATGGAAACCTACTCCAGTATTCTTGCCTGGAGAATCCAATGGACAGAGGATCCTGACGGGCTACGGTCCATGGGGGTCACAAAAAGTCGGACACAACTGAAGTGACCGAGCATGCACGCACACTCTGCAGTCTGCCTGTGATCTAATTACTTCCTTTTCCAGGAAGTCCAATCCTGACCACTACCCCCACCCCACCCCCCGCCACACACACACCCTGCTCCTAGCACTTGCCTTACCATAGCTATCTCCCCAAATCCATCTCACATATTGCCTCATATACAGTCTTTATATAGACTCCGAAATCCCATAATTATTCACTTCCTCCTTTCTCCCTGGGCATGCATGCGTGCTAAGTTGCTTCAGTCACATCTGACTCTATGAAACCCCATGGACTGTAGCCCACAGGCTCCTCTGTCCATGGGATTCTCTAGGCAAGAATACTGGAGTGGGTTGCTATGCCCTCCTCCAGGGGATCTTCCTGACCCACGTATCCAACCCCCATCTCCTGTGGCTCCTGCATTGCAGGTGGATTCTTTACCTCTGAGCCACAGCGGAAGCCCTCCTGATCCACATCTAATATATATTTCCTAAAAGCACTACACCTGGGATACCCTTCTATGCTGGTCAACTCATCTATCTTCTCTTATTAGATCTGTGGATTTTCAACATGTTGGGATAACTGATGTTTTAGAAATGGTGGTGAAATCTATTCATCTCTTTCCAGAAACATTACATAAGCACAATATTTTGAATAAAATTCCAGTGGTTTTATAGATCCCTGTAGAAACCATCCCTGCTTCCAGCAAGAGACAGAAGGGTTAAGAACCCTTGTTTCAGACCATGGGTCAGCAGACATTTTTTAAAAACATAGATGGTATATATTTTACACTTTTCAGGTCATATGTTCTCTGTCACAACTACTTAATAGTGCTATCATAGTTCAAAAGCAGCTATACACAATATGTAACAAATTGCCATGGCTTGCTCCATTAAAACCTTGTTTATAAAATTTTGCTCCAGTCTGAATTTGACCCACTGCTCATATTTTGCCAACCCATTTTAAATCATAATTTTTTTTAAAAAAAGAATCAAATGTATTTCTGTATCTCCAGCCTAATACAATGCCTGGCACACAACACATACTCAAAAATAAAAAAGTTTACTAATGAGTAAATCTGGTAATCAAATTTTAAAAATAATGAAGTATTCCAGGGAAGAAAAATATTAGGAAAGGAGGAATAAAGGCAGTAACCATGGGGATGGAGAGAATATTTAAGTGGACTTGAATAGCCACTGATAATGGGAGGAACGTGAAGAATACAGGAGAGTCCAGGGGACTCCCAGGTTTCTGGCCAGAGTGATTTGTGACCCATTAATTTAATGCAGAAAGTAAGATGTCTAAGGTCAGTGTCATTTTAGCAGGCACTCAATCAGTTCAGTTCAGTTCAGTCGTTCATTCACGTCTGACTCTTTGTAACCTTGTGGACCGCAGCACGCCAGGCCTCCCTGTCCATCACCAACTCCCAGAGTTTACCCAAACTCATGTCCATTGATTGAGTCAGTGATGCCATCCAACCATCTCATCCTCTGTCATCCCCTTCTCTTCCTGCCTTCAATCTTTCCCAACATCAGGGTCTTTTCCAATGAGTCGCATCAGGTAGCCAAAGTGTTGGAGTTTCAGCTTCAACATCAGTCCTTCCAATGAACACTCAGGACTGATCTTCTTTAGGATGGACTGGTTGGATCTCCTTGCAGTCCAAGGGACTCTCAAGAGTCTTCTCCAACACCACAGTTCAAAAGCATCAATTCTTCAGTGCTCAGCTTTCTTTATAGTCCAACTCTCACATCCATACATGACTACTGGAAAAACCATAGCCTTGACTAAACAGACCTTTGTTGGCAACTGATTATTTCTTGTGGCATTATCTGCTTTGGCAACACACTTTCAAATCCCCCTGTTTTCCCTTGCCGAGTGTTCAAGGAATTTACTTGATCCAGTCTTGCTGCTGCTGCTGCTAAGTCACTTCAGTCGTGTCCAACTCTGTGCGACCCCATAGACGGCAGCCCACCAGGCTTCTCCATCCCTGGGATTCTCCAGGCAAGAACACTGGAGTGGGTTGTCATTTCCTTCTCCAAGATAATCCAGTCTTACTTGGAATGTAAAACTTCTGGCAATGAAAACAATCCTATGCAGAGTAGATCAAAGAAAGGTTTATTTGAAATTACCCTTTTTTAGATGGTATAGTACCCTCCTCCTTCATTTTCAAAGCATCAGCATCACCTGGGAATTTATTAGGAATGCAAATTCTTGGTCCCTTCCACCAGACTTACTAAACCAGAGCTCAGCAGTCTATGTGTTAACAAGACCTCCGCATGATTTTGATGCTCTGAGTAAAATGAGAATTACGTCTCTAGGGCTGATGGGCAGTGCCAGGGATAGCCAGCCCTGGAGTCCTTTACTTGTTCCCAGACAGATATAATCATGAGTCCATTGGCACAAAGGAAACAGAAGAAAAGAACTTTTTGCTGATTGTTTTATCTCTTTAATTTCTAGAAATTTCTCCAGGACATAACTGGTGCTGAGAAGTATTTTATTGGCTTATTATACCAGCCTGTAGAGAAAACGTGGCGCTGGATCAACAACGCTGCATTTAATGGCAAGTACGTGAACATCTCACATTTTTCTGGGATCTTAGCTGCTTCTAGAGACTAGACCAGAGACTCAGTGGGTTTGCCCTGGAACAGCACAAAGGCTTAGACTTAGCTGCATGTTCTCTCCCTCTCCTTTATTCCAACCCACTTATCCCCAGAGACACATTTTTGGGGTAAATTTTTTATTATGGAAAATATAAAATATTTCTGAGTAGAGAGGACTGTTCATTCAACAAATTATTTTATTTTAATCAAGGTCCAAACAAATCCCCATACATATTATGTTTGATATATCTCATAAGTATCTTTTAACCCAGAGATCACATTTTTTTAACTAAGTTCTTACAAGTTCCCCAGAGATGGTTTCTCTATCTAAAGAAATGTTATTATTAACAATTTGTCTATGCCTTAAAGCTATTAAACTTTAACTCCCAAGAGCTATGTCCTATGTATCCTTCCATGGCCATAGCCATGGTGAGGAACATGACATTCCCAGCAGACCTATGAAAATGGTGAGTCAGATAGAAAGCAAGTCAGTTCCCCAGACTGTAACCAGCCGCTCGCAGAAAGGAGTAAGTGAACATTCATTCAATGTCTACTAAATGCAAGGCCCTTGCTAAGCACTTTACACGTCATTCCTGGTAGTATTCACAATGATGCTACTAGGAAAAGCCTTTATTGATTCCCATTTAACAGACAGCTGAACTGAGGCTTAGAAATGTGTTGAACATCACAAAGCCAGGGTGTGGTAGAGCTACAATTTGACCCTGCATCCACTTGGCTCTAAAACTTATGTCCTTCCCATGAAACCAGACTCTTTCCAGTCAGACTGAAAGACAGTTAAAAGAGATATGAAAAGACCAACCAAGTTTTTCACAAAGCCAGCTGGTGTCCAGGAAAGGAGGAGAAATCTCCTTCCTCCTTCTCCTCTTGGGCCTCCTGTTGAAAACATAGGACCTCCAGCACTAAAACACTATGTCTGGGAGAAAAGGGGACAAACAACCCATGACGTGTTTCTAACCAAACAGAGTGAGTTAATCCAAGATAACGAGTCCAAAAAAACTCACAGGAGAGCTGACAGGAAAGCATCAGTCTTTGAGCTGGATTTGGGGATGCTGCTGCTGCTGCTAAGTTGCTTCAGTCGTGTCCAACTCTGTGCAACCCATAGACGGCAGCCCACCAGGCTCCTCGGTCCCTGGGATTCTCCAGACAAGAACACTGGAGCGGGTTGCCATTTCCTTCTCCAATGCATGCATGCATGTTAAGGCACTTCAGTCATATCCAACTCTGTGCAATGCTATGGACAGCAACCCACCAGGCTCCTCTGTCCACGGGATTCTCTAGGCAGGAATACTGGAATGGGTTGCCATTTCCTTCTCGAATGCATGCATGCATGTTAAGGCACTTCAGTCATATCCGACTCTGTGCAATGCTATGGACAGCAGCCCACCAGGCTCCTCTGTCCACGGGATTCTCTAGGCAAGAATACTGGAATGGGTTGCCATTTCCTTCTCCAATGCATGCATGCATACTAAGGCACTTCAGTCATATCCAACTCTGTGCAATGCTATGGACAGCAGCCCACCAGGCTCCTCTGTCCACAGGATTCTCTAGGCAAGAATACTGGAGTGGGTTGCCATTTCCTTCTCTGTGGGGATGCTGAGGGGGTATCAGAACCAGGAAAAGGCAGGGCTGAAATGACAGGCTTTAACCATGCTTTCTTTTCCCAACTAGCATTACCAATCAGGGTCAGAATTTCCACTGTGTGACCATAGGTCTAACAAAGACATATGATGCTGTTTCATGTAACATCACCTACCGCTGGATCTGTGAGAAGAAGGCCCAATGATGCAGCTCTCTGTGGCCTCTGAAAAGAACAAAAAATATACTACAGAGACAGCAAAAGAGCATGTTGGCAATTTGGACTGATCCAGGAGATACAGAACATTAGATTCCTACGTCTGTCTTCCACAGGTCACTGGAGAACCCCCTAATAGCTCCTCAGTGCTAAAGCACCAGGCCCTCCACAAACATACTTGCAGACACACAGCTGAGGCAAACTCCTCATTCTGAGTCAGCAACTCCCCGAGACCCTATTTCCTGAGAAAGTCAGACCCGTGGCTTTCGATCTACACGGGTCAACTGATCAAATGATCTCTTTATCCATCTGTCTACCAGTAGAGGTCCTAGGCTATTGGAGGAAATCAGCTTCTGCACTCCACTTTGGGGGACTGGATACTATTAATATCACCAGGAGACAGACTGTTTGATGGAGACAACTGGGTTGGTACAAAGATAGAACCAAGAATTTCTGACTGATCAACAGGCTTTGTTTTGTCCTCAGAGCACATGACCGTACTACCAGGGAGAAACTGCAGACTGAGCAGGTGTGAACATTATTTAAAGGGCAGCAAGGGTGGAAGAGGGATAAACTCAGCTTCCGGAGCTCACTTTTGTTCCCAAGAGACCCCTGTTCTCATGCCCTCCAGCCTGCCTGGGGAGGGACAGCAGAGGCCTTCTTCAGTCTGCTTTGAGGCCAGGCCTAGGAATGGGCTTCTGAGCTAAGCTAGGACCAGAGACAGCACTGTTCATGGGAATGGAGAGGGGGCTGGGCAGGGCGGAATCTGCTAGGAAACCTCTCTGAAGACTACCTAACACCCAAGATGACCACACTTCAGAGAACTGAATCTCTGTTCTTCAGCAAAGTCCTAAAGAAATAAGCTAAATATTTCCTTGGTCTTGGCCTGAATCTCCATTTTAATGGATTTTGATGACCTGGCTGTGTTTGTTAACTATATATTAAAAATTTGGTATAGTTCCTTGGGTCCCAGTAGTCATAATATATTCCTGCCTGCAGTTCTAGAGAGATCATGCTGCCAGGTACAATAATATACTGAACCCAAAGACGCCAGCACTGGTTGGTACCACCCTGACCCAGGACTGGTCCAGCTGACCACAGAGTAGAAAAAGAGGAGGACCGCTCAAGGAGACATTGGGTGGAGGCAAGTTGTGGGCATTTGGTAGAAAGGGAACAGCAGGGACACAGGAAAGCCATATGCAGGAGGAAAAAGAGTGCATTTGGCCATACTGAAAGAAAGGCCAGGAAAAGGTAGATAAGTCTTGTGGGCATCCAGTCTGTCCTCTGTACTTGCAGGAAGACATCAGCTACAGACCCTCCTCAGTACGTATAAAAGAGAAAAGAAATATGTTTGTGTTTTAATTTAACAAGAATTAAGCCATAAGAACAGACTCATTGGAAAAGACCCTGATGCTGGGAGACTGAAGGCAGGAGGAGAAGGGGACGACAGAGGATGAAATGGTTGGATGGCATCACTGACTCAGTGGACATGAGTTTGAGCAAGCTCTGGGAGTTGGTGATGGACAGGGGAGCCTGGCATGCTGCAGTCCTTAGGGTCACAAACAGTTGGACACGATTGAGTGACTGAACTGACTGACCGAAGGATAAGGGAAGTCTGCATAAAACTACTAGAAATTATAGTCACCCAAGTAAAGAGATCACCATTTATGTCTAATAAAAATGTACTACAATGATTGTGAACATCACTTTTTGTATGTCAAATTAAATTGATGACAGTTTTATATTTTATTACAACACTAAGCTCTGTTTCTATATTCCTAGGCTTCCCTATTTGGGGTTAATTAGCACGGCCACTTACAATGTTTAAAAATGAGAGTAACACATTATGTGTTAGAACTTGCTTGAAGGAGGTTATTAGAAGCATTGGGCTGGCCAAAAAGTTTTCATTCAGGGTTTATCCCAAATGAATGTTCGGCCAGCCCAACAATTTGCATCTTGATGGGAGTGGATGTTGGAATATTAGAACTCAATGGAGATACAAGCTCTCTGATGGTGTCAGTGACAAGCAAGTGCTACAGGGAAGGAAGGGGGAGGTTGAAAGGGTGGTGAAGGAAAGCATGAACAGAATTCTGAGCTAAAGTAAGCCCAGGATTCAGACAGCAAAAGGAAAACCACAACCCTTCTGTTTGGCAAAGTGAGAACTAAGGTTGCCACACTTCCTGTTTTATGACAGAATAAGTTGCAGGCTTTTATAGTCAGGAAATGTAGACACTGATGGCCAGCTCAATTTTTCCCCAAGATGAGGCGGTACTTCCGCACAAGTTCTAACCACAAGGAGCTGGGGTGGGGCTCTTGGTGAGGGGAGCTGGGAGCAAATATGTGGACTTTGGTTTAAGTTCATTACTAGAGAATGGGCTTCCCTGGTGGCTCAGACAGTAAAGAATCCACCTGCAATGTACAAGACCCAGGTTCGGTCCCTGGGTCAGGAAGATTCCCTGAAGAAGGAAATGGCAACCCGCTCCAGTATTCTCGCCTGAAGAATTCCATGGACAGAGGAGCCTGGCAGGCTACAGTCCATGGGGTCCCAAAGAGTCAGACATGACTGAGTGACTTTCACTTTCACTGGAGAATGGGGGGAGGGTTGCTGAATCCATAGAAGGGTAAGTAACTGCAGCCTATTGGGAAGCAGTGGTATTGTTTGTTTGTTTGTTTTTAAGCAATGGAAATTTAATAAACTATTGGATTCGAGTTTTGATTGTGCATCCAATATGATACGTGAATCCATACAGATTTCTTACTCTTTCTGTTCGTAACTGAGCTCTTTCTGTGCCTTGGTCCCCTTACCTATAACATGGAGCAGTAATACCTGGCTCAAAAAACTCTTTTAGATATATACGAAATAATATCCACACTGTGTGTGTATTTCAACAGCAATACACAATGAGGGATACACATTGTGGAAGATTTGAAATTGAGATCTTCATCTGAGAAGTGGCTCTTTAATTTGCAAGAAGCTGAATGTAGGCAAGACACCATTTCTCAGAACCTGTTTACTCCTTTACAACATGGAAATAAAAACCTGCCCAAGTCAGAGAGAGGTGGCTCAAAATTCCTGTGGCCCCCTGGACATCAGTGCCATGCTTTCCTTGTCTCTGGCTTACACACAAATTCCTCTTCCTCTCTGTGTGACCTACGGGTCCCGTGACTAAAGCCATTGACCCTCTTATCCTCAATGTTGACAAATCAACATGGATAGCTGGATGACTGAAGGCATCAGGTATAGGCAGCCTTTGCCCATTGTCCCTGTTGCCAACTCCCACTCCCAGAAGCCTTTGTCTTCCGGTTAGTCCTACTTCCGCTGAGTTTCTCGCAGCACAGACCAAGTAACAATGCAGTAGAAGTCTCAGCTGGCCTCTACCTTCCCCTCACCTCTGACTGACGTGGTGATTTAGGACTCACCAAAGTCTCCTGCAGTGGGCCCTCAAGCTTCCTTCAGATCATCTTCACTACCAGCCAGGAGTCTGAGGCTGCAGAGGTATTTGAATATCTCTAAAGCTACAGTTCATGGTCAATGTCTCTCAACTGCAGGCACAGAGAACTGAATCAATCACAATGCTTCATTTACAAGGCATTCCCATCCTTGACACATGCAAGGCCTTTTTCTAGGTACACATGACTTCAGGGGACCCCTGGGTGCACAGGGTCCTTAGAGGAAGTACATCTCAAGTACAGCACAGAAGAAGCTGAAGATACAGAAGATTTTTATGATGTTCCCTGAGTTTTAGAACTATCAAGAAAGTATTATAAGAACTTCTGTTGTGAGGTCATCAAAGTCATAATAACCTACACATAGTGAAATCCAGTGGCCATCTTACTTGACCTCTCAGGACCATATGACATAGTATATCAAGACATCACTCTTCTGGTTTACCTCCCATTGTGCTGGCCATTACCCAGTCTCCCTCACTGACTCCTATTCATTAGTTGGTCCCTAAATATTGAAAACTCAGGGCCCAGTCATATGCATTGTTATTCTCTTTATCTGTGCTTCATCCCTTGGTCAATCAGCTATTCTCATAGTTTTAAATACCACCTACACTCACTCTTGGGCTTCCCTGATAGCTCAGTTAGTAAAGAATCCACCTGCAATTCAGGAGACCCCACTTCAATTCCTGGATCAGGAAGATCCACCAGAGAAGGGACAGGCTACCCACTATAGAATTCTTGGACTTCCCTTGAGGCTCAGCTTTTAAAGAATTCACCTGCAATGCAGAGACCTGGGTTCAATCCCTGGGTTCACTGAAGAATTGATGCTTTTGAACTGTGGTGCCGGAGAAGACTCTTGAGAGGCCGTTGGACAACAAGGAGATCAAACCAGTCCATCCTAAAGGAAATCAGTCCTGAATATTTATTGGAAGGACTGATGTTGAAACTGAAATTCCATTACTTTGGCCACGTGATGTGAAGAACTGATTCATTGGAAAAGACTGGGCAACACTGAAGGCAGGAGAAGGGGACGACAGAGAATGAAATGGTTGGATGGCATCACTGACTCAATGGACATGAGTTTGAGCAAACTCCCGGAATTGGTGATGGACAGGGAAGCCTGGTATGCTGCAGTCCATGGGGTAGCAAAGAGTCAGACATGACTAAGCAACTGAACTGAACTGAACTGAACATTCACTCTCAAATTTATGTATCCAGCCTGAAGTTCCCTGAACTCCAGGGTTTTACGTTTTTCTCCTCAGCATGTTCTCTTAGACATTTAATATTAGACATCTCACACTTGATTTGTTTGTAACTGAGCTCTTGATATTCCCCCCAAACTGGCTCATTCCATGGTACCATCTCAGTCAACAGAATTTCACCTCAGTTAATACAATTTTATCCTTCTAGTTTTTCAGACACCCCCCAAAAAATGTATAGTCACTAACTCATCTCTTTTTTCATATCAAATCCAAACAAATGCTGTTGTCTATAGATTGATGCAAATAAGATGATACTATATTAGGTTAGTTATGTGTAAAATATAGTCTTTAGAAACAGACTTTACTGCCATCACCTTGATCCAAATGATTATCATCTGTTGCCTAGGTTATTGTAAAGGTCTCTATGGCTAATTAGACAATCATTTAAAATATTCAGCCTCTTCATCCCTGTCAAAGCAAAACTTGTCCTGGATAATGTTAAACAGGCAAAGAAGACTTTGAGGTTATCACACCAGGAAAGGAAACCCATGCCTGCACTTCTCTTCATTTCAACCATAGAAATGAACTACTGGAAAAGTACTGAGGGGCTTTAGCTGGGAGATGTTAATCAATAGGAAATGGTGAGCACACTGAGTTTTCCTGAGTCTGTAAAAGGTGTTTTTCTGTGATGACTCCAGCTCTGCTTGCTCTCTGGTATCCATCAAAGTCAGGCTCATCCCCTGCCACAGAGACTGGGAATAAGGGCACTTTCTTCCTTGATGATTATGTTTCAAAGGTATGGCTCCCGAGTCCCAAGAAAATCCTCCTTGGGACATAAAACTGGCCGCAGGTTTTTTTAAAAAGTTTACATCTCAAAGGAACAGAAAAAGGTTTTACAATTCCAAATGTTCTAATGCAAATGCCAGGGGCCTACAGTCAGGAATAAGCCCAGCTTAAGTTTAGTCAAGCCAAGAGAAACATTAAGGACATCTTGGTAAACCTCTGCCTGGCCTCATGTCCTCCAGCAGTATATTATCCACCCCTTGATTCTGGAATTTTTTCCATGTAACCAGCTTTGAACAATACAATGAGACTGAAGATTCAATATGCCAGATCTGAGCCCAGGTCCTAAGAGGCTGCCAGTGTTTTCAGCTGGGCTTTCTTGTGTTCTGTCATCATTATAGGAAAAACATGCCCAGGTGAGTCTGCTGGCCCCAGAAAGAGGAAAGATACCCCAGTTGCAACATCAACGGAGAGCCAGCCATAAACCACCTGACTGCCATCCAATTCTTAGACTCATAGATAAGCCCTCCGGATTAGCAGAGCCACAAACTAAGCCGAGCCTTGATAAGCTGAAACCCTAATGCATGAAAACAAAAGCATCATTGTAATCACTGGAGATTTGTGTGCGTGACTTATACAGCAAAAGTTAATGGATCTCCCTCCTTCTTTCTTACTGTCCTTCAATCGATTGCCTGCCCAGGAGTCAGAATAATCTTGTTAAAATAATAGGCAGATTGTGTCACTATTCTTCAATACCCTGCAATAGTTTTCCCCTCACTCCTAAAAAAAGCAAATGTCTTTAAAAGACTTACACGGCTCTACATGATCTAAATCTCAATTACCTCTCTGATTTCATTTTCCCTTACTCATCTTGGCTTATTCCATTTCAGCATGTTGCTTATGCCTTCCCTGGGTTCTCTCTGCTTATTGTTTGCATGCCTGGAATGTTCTTTAACTAATGTCTACATGACTCACTACTTCACCTCTTTCAAACTTTTCCTAACAACCTTATTTAAAATTTCCGCATTCTCCCAACAGTTCCTTTCATTCCTATTTTACTTTTCTTCATAGTACTTTTCCACCATCTAACATACAATTTTTTGCCAACTTTACAAAGATTTAACTCACATACCATAAAGCTCACACATTTTAAATATACAATTCCAATTGGGGGGTATACTTACACAAATATGTGCACCCATAAAAGGGTGAGAAATTGAATTAGTACATGTCTTAAGACATAAGAGAAATGCAATTATTAACTTTTTCATAGGCATACATATGTAGGGTTACAAAAATAATAACAAGAATATTGAAGGGTATAGAGTGAAAAGTCTTGATCCCCTCCTCATTCTATTTGCCAATTCTCACTACTATAATCCCACCAGAAACCACCTATTAGATTTTTCTGATGGTGCCCATATGAAAATATAAGCAGATATGAATCTATATGCATTTCTATTCCTTCCTAACACAAAAGGATGAATAATAAATTCAATGTACTTTACTTTTCTCACTTAACAATATAGACCAAAGGTTGTTTCTAATCACTTAAGAAAGAGCTTCTTTGATCTTTTCTTTATACAAATGAAACATAATTTATTTAACCAGTCACTATTGATATCAGTTATCAATATTTTGTTATTACAAAGATGCTGTAAAAAAGATGCTGATGTCATAATGCTAATGACATAAGAAACAGGGGATCAGTTATGAACTAGGGTGCTGATTAGAGGAATGATGAGAATGGCAATGCTGGAGAGACGGGAGAAGGACAAATTTGTGGAAAGCTGGAAAATAGTGTGGTAAACTTGGGGTGTGTGAGGGGGAAAGGAAAAGAACCCAGAAATGAATTAAAGACCTGGAACCACAGAAAGAGAGCTACAGAGAGGAAGGAGGAAAGAAAGTGCCAGGAGAGGATGAACACAATTGTCAGTCGAGAAAATTTACAGGAAGCCACTGTCACTGTTGAACCTTGGAGCAGAAGCCTCAATAATGTTGATCCCTGAAGCTGGACTTGGTATTGTTCATGGAAGTAATATAGGGAACTTCCAGCAGTGAGAAAACCAGAAAAATCACAAAACAATATAGGTGAGGATGACCCAGCACCTAGAATCAAACATTTAGGTCAGTTGTAAGACAATGAACAACATTATGAATGCTTTTCCCTTTCAAACAACTCAGTGTTTTTTAATAGCTTGCATATTTACAGTTTTAAAATTTATTTTGTGAGAAGCATTTTAACTACAGTAATATGTATTAATGAATATAAGCACTTAAAAACAACAGCCTACCATATAGGAATGACTCACTTATCAACTGAAGCAGTCAGTATTTAAAAGTTACCTTGTAGATCACAAACAGTGTGCCGATGAACATGATTATTTCAGATTTTAATCTGTGCTTTCCGCTTACTCAGGCCCAAGGTAATGAGTCCATCCTCAGGACACAGCTAACCCTTCAGGAGTTGACGGCAGCGTTTCATGACATTTCGAAAGGCCTCTAGGAATTTGTCATTCCGGAGGGTGAAGATAAAAGGGTTCAGAAAAGGGTTCACCACTAAAACCATCAGTGATGCTACCCTGTTGTGCTCAGCAGCCTGCGTTTGCTTGGGTTTCACAAACAGGAACAAACAGCTGCCGTAGCCGATGACAACAAAGGTGAAGTGGGAAGCACAGGTAGAGAAGGCTTTCCTGCGGCCAGAGCCGGAGGGGATCTTGAGGACGGTGGATACGATGCAGGTGTAGGAGACAATTGTAGGGATCATCGAACCAACAATAATGAAAACAGCCATTAAAAACAGAATAAACTCTGTGAAAAGACTGTTATCACAGGATAGTTTGAGCAGTTGCCCTCGGTCACAGTAAAAATGGTCTAGCACATTTGATTTGCAGAAAGTAAGATGAAACGTGGCATAGACTGGCCAGATTTCAAACAGGAAGCCAAATACCCAGGACACAATTACCACCCAGAGACAGGTGTGGCTGTTCATAATGATGGTGTACCGCAGAGGGTTACAGACAGCCACGTAACGGTCCACAGCCATCGCTCCTATTAATAACAACTCCGACGTTCCCAAAGACAGGTACAAATACAGTTGTACACAACAGGCACTCAAAGATACTGCCTGCATCCCAGGAAGAAGCAGACCCCAGAGCATCAGAGGGACGGCCACAGATGTGGTCAGGATCTCTAGGACAGAGAGGTGACCCAGGAAGAAATACATGGGAGACTGAAGACGTTTATCAACACAGACTGTCAAGATTATGACCATGTTTCCAATTAATGTCACAGAGTAGAAGAAAAAGAAGGTGGCAAAGAGAATATTGTGTAGTTCTTTAGAGCCAGGGAAGCCAAGGAGATAAAATTCAGTGACACTAGAGTAATTTTCCAACATTTGGCCGTATGCTTTTGCTGTTTTTGAAATCTACAGGGCAAAGGAAAGACAACATGCCGTTAAATTCAAATCACTAAAGACATTCACAGTTTGACAAATACCTCTCCTGCTCTCAGGCTCCATAGCATGAGCAGCAGGGTCCACCTTTCACTGTTCCCTGTAAAAAGTTGATGTTAAGTGTTTTATGAACAACATGCATAATATATGAAGATAAGTGGGCATGTCCAGTTAAGTAAGAGATAATCACCAATACCACTCTATGCGCTGGATCACACCCACCCCAGGAATCACCCTTGTCTCTCAATTCACTAGACATTCAGCCTGCACCTTCCTTAACCATCTTATCGACTTCCATGGCCACAACATATCCATTTAGAGCATGGCCCCTTCCATCCTGAGTGTCCTAATCTGTCTCCTGGACCTGTGTATCCATGCCCTGAAATAACTACTGCATCTCAACAGTTCCAAGAAAGTATTCCTAGTCAATCTCACTTAGACATGGTTCCTTCTCCTTGTTTCCTTTGAACACAGATTCATTTGCCTCATCTTCACTTTGAAGTTTTCAATTCAGTTACCTGTATCATCATTCTTCCTGGGAAGGATGACAGGCAGAGGGGTGGGTTCCACTCAGGATGATGTCTTAAGATAATGAGCTATCTTGAGACAAACTATTGAGTCTTTTCCTGACTTCTGGTAGCCAGTTTCCTGGAGCTCACTGTCCAATTTTTCCTCCTTATTCTTATGGTAGAAGTCACTTTCTTCTGCTCATTACAGTGAATGTGCCCCCTCAATAGGAGAAGCCTCACTAGCTCTGAGTTTGTGACTTCTAGCTCAGAGATGATGATTCCACTTGTCACCAGGGGACTGCAGAGTGTTGGGGAACAGGAGAAGTGAAACGCTGGGACTCTCCTTGCAAACTACCATCACTCCCATTCCTACTGCAAAATCTGGAACCAGGAATTAGGAAGTAGCTATGATATAAGGTAGCATGCTCTGCTTGTCTAGGGTTTCAAAGTTCTAGCTCTAGGAAGAAGAGACTTCCAAATGGGAAATGTGTCCCTGTGTTCAACCAGCGATGGACCTAGAAATATGGAGAAGTATGGGAAGTCCCCAGAGAACATTTACTTATCTATGTCGTCAATAGTCTCCTGAGTCCGACAAGTAAGGAAAAGTGTCAGAAAACATCAAAATGGCTCACTCTGAGCTCGTCAGACTAACTGGATTCCTTCCCTCACCCCATGCAGCTCATTGCTCAAACGTGTATAACCCTGGTGCGCTTCCAGAATCTCTAAAGCTGCACACGTGCCTCTTCACACTCTGGACTCTCCTTAGGCTGTATTTTCTGCCTATTAGCTCTCATCAGGAACTGAAATTGACGTACCTCAAGGAAGCTTGTCTTCTTCATTCGTCGTCACACCTCTGGTGCCAAGAACAAAGTATGACACAGAGGCAGCATGGACTCTTTTAATGCTTACTAAGTGAATAAATCAGTGAATGAATCACAAACAGGTCAACGAATGAACAAAGAGTACCCATCCTGACCTGCTTTTCCTTCTACTGACAGGATAGGACTCTCACTCTTTACAGAGGACTTGTCTGGTCAATCTGTGGCCTCTCTTCCTGGGGATCCCTACAGAATAGGAAGCAAACAAAGGAAAGAAATAGGGAGGGATGAGAGAGCAGGGTCTCAGGTAATGACAGAGAGCTGTGTCTGTCACCAGCACTCGGAGCAGCAAAAACGAGTTTTCTGCTCTGAAGGAAACACAGGTTCACCATGCAGCTCCCTTCATCCATTCTTCATATTCCAGGTGTCTTTCCTCTACATGGTAGCAAAGCCCAGAACTTCCTATACCAATCCTCTCCTGCTAGCTCCTTCAGAGAGGAACCACTGGCAGACACTCACCTCCAGAGAAGGGACAGGCCTGCAAAGTTCTATGGCTCTGGGATCAGCACTGGGTGCCCCCTGCTTGATGAGGAGTGCTGGGCATGGTCTGTGGGTCACAGCAAACTACTGCTCTCTCCACTCTCAGTGAAAGAGGGAACACCTCACACCAGCATATTAGGGGAAATTATAGTGATAAAAGTGCTGTGAGAGCCTGACCATGGTTCTCTGTATCTCTCTCTCCATTTTTCCTTCACCTCTCTGTCCCCAGAGAGACTGATTCACTGATTAACTAAATCTGTTAAGTTCAGAGAATCCCTAGAGAAGTAGTCAAAAGAGAGTCAGAGAAACTTTTCCCTGTTCCTCTCGAGGCTAATCAAGTTTAGAACATGGAAAAGTTCTAAATGGGCAAACTTGAAATCCCTGAGGCAAGGAGTTTCTCAACACGCAGCTGGCCTTCCCTCAGACCCCAGGTCCTGGATGTTATCCAGACCGTCAAAAAATAGCCAGACCCTGCTCTACTGTGTCTCCCTGATTCCACTTAGCCCTGCAGAGCCTAGTGACCCACAAACAGAACACACCTCAACTGCCTCTAAAACATCAAAACCCAACAGCCACCAAAGAGCCTCTGTCAAAAGTTTTCCTTCATCCCCATCCCCAGGAATCCCATCTTTTCCCGATGACCTCTGCACTCCACCTACCAGATACTCTCTGACCACAGTTATGGGAAACTGGGAAGAGAGAAAGAGGATGGAGGATCTGCCAGGCACCCTAAACTCACAGCCTGTGAATGCCACAGACCCTTCCAGTCTCTCCACCCTGTATACATTCCAACTGTCCTGCTCATTCAAGCATTCCCTTAGGTGCCAAATGCTACCAGGGCACCTTCCTGACCCTCCTGAAGTGAGAGGTACAGGCAGACGGAGCAATAAACAGGACTGACTCCCCCAAACATTAACAGTATATAAAAGTGAGGACAGCTGGATTGCTGGATAACATAGCAAAATAACATTTAAAATACTTATAATTACTTTATTAAAACAACTCCTGGTAAGAAAATGAAGTTTTACAGAGGAATAGAAAACAAATTCCCACTCACCAATGTACAATTCTCCTGATCATCTCATACATCTAAATACTATGATTCATTTCTATGATGTCCATACAGGAATTTTCTATCACACACATGCATATCTCTATCAATACCTTCACCTGTAACATGTACATTTGTACAGTAACAGCTTCTAAATCATATTACATTTCTTAGCTGCTTTCCAATCACCCTCCAAAAAGTTGTATCAATTTATAAACTTAAAATGAGATTATATTGGGGTCATCCAGACAGACTTCTACAGGAAGTTGCAGGAAATTTTTATTCTCGTGTTCACCATATGACCTTCCCAGTTATCATACTAACATACAAGGAGACAGTAATTACATTATGAAGGGGAGAAACATCCCAGGGTTCCTCATCCCCACGGGAACTGTGATGACAGCTGCCCAAGACACTGGTATCTCAGCTACTGCCTCTCAGCCTCTGAACTCTGAATGTGTCAGCTTCTATCCAAACAGTTTGTAGTTTGTGAAACAAGGCTACTGGCACATGAGGAAATCTGAGGGATGTAAGGTAGGTAGACGTTTCCTCTAAGAACCCTTATTGCAAAGCCAACTTCCCTAATTCAGAACATGGTTCATTGACCCTACATGTCCCTACAGTGATGTTTATGGCCATGGGAGCTCAACAGACACCTCAAAGGTAGGAAGGAATGTACAGTAACAAAACCCATTAAGAAAAATTTTGTCAGTTTCTAAAAGCTAAGAATATAGCTACTAGGACACAGCAATTCTGCTTCCAGAAATTTACCTAAGAAATGAAAAGATACATCTTGACAAAGTTGTCTGTTCTGATGTTCCTAGCAGTTTAATTCATTACATCAAGTGACACAAAACAAATAGCCCCAACAAAAGAAAGGTAGTATCAGTCTTCATTATTCACATATTCTGTATCTGCGCATTCATCTACTCACAAAAACTTATGTGTAGTCTCAAAATCAGTATTTCCAAGCAATGTCCAAGGTCATTAATCAACATGGGCATGAATACTCATAGCAGAAAACTGGAGTCACCTGGAGTACACCTTCTCAACTGAGGTTGAAGGCACAACCCTCCCTCTTGTTGCAGCTTCTATACTGTAAACAAATGTCTTTCGTGCTGTCCAATTAGTAACATGTTTTTGACATCTGTTTGCATTTTGTTGGTGATTTTGCTGCTTAAGCTATTGTTGCTTTTCAGGTGCCAAGACGAGTCTGACCCTTTGCGACAGCATGAACTGCAGCATGCCAGACGTCCGTGTCCCTCACCATCTCCTGAAGTTTCGCCAAATTCATGTCCCTTGAATCTGTGATGCCATACAACCATATCATCCTCTGTCACCTTCTTCTCTTTCATTCTTCAATCTTTCCCAGTATCATGTGTTTTTCCAGTGAGTCAGCTGTTCACATCAGGTGGCCAAAGTATTGGAGCTTCAGTTTCAGCATCAGTCCTTCCAAAGAGTATTCAGGGTTGATGTCCTTTAAGATTGTCCAGTTTGATGACTCTTAAGCATAATGCTTGAGCATAATGTTTTTGAAAATTGTGGAAAATTCTTAAAGATATGGGAATACCAGACCACCTTATCTGCCTCCTGAGAAATCTGTATGTAAGTCAAGAAGTAACAGTGAGAACTGGACATGGAACAATGGACTGGTTCCAAATCGGGAAAGAAGTACATCAAGGTTGTATATTGTGGCTCTGTTTATTTAACTTATATGCAGAGTACATCATACGAAATGCTGAACTGGATGAAGCACAAGCTGGAAGCAAGATGCAGGGAGAAATATCAATAAACCTCAGATATGTAAGTGACACCACCCTTATGGCAGAAAGCAAAGATGAACTAAAAAGTCTCTTGATGAAAGTGAAATAGGAGAGTGAAAAAGTTGGCTTAAAACTCAACATTCAAAAGATGAAGATCATGGCATCCAGTCCCATCACTTCATAGCAAATATATGGGTAAAGAATGGAAATAGTGACAGACTTTATTTTCTCGAACTCCAAAATCACTGCAGATGGTGACTNAAAGCCGGCTGACCAAGAAGATGGCAGACTAATGTCTCAAAACAGCCATTTTGTAGGGGCGTGGATGCCAGGTTCTTTTATAGGACAGTGAGGAGGAAGAAATGAGGAAGTAAAGACCATTATCTTGCAAATATCTCCTGAAATGGACGTCTACAACATAGTTTCCTTCCATCCTGATGTGCTCCTATGACTTTGTCACTTCAGAAGTTGAAGGATTGGGAAAAGAAATAACTGCTGAAATCATCAGGGAAACCACCGTATTGCAATTGGATGTCAACTGTGTTCTGTGCCAGTTTCCTCCACATTCTGAAAAAACTGCTGTATATTAACTGTTTTAAGAAAATATTTCTGGGAATCTCTGTTGGTCCACTGGTTAGGACTCAAAGCTTTCGCTGCCAGGGTTTCCAGGTCAATCCCCAGTTGGGGAACTAAGATCCTGCAAGCCTCATGATGCATACAAAATGAGAGAAAGTTTTTCTTGCCAATCCCACCCAGACATGGCTACTTCTTTTTTTGTATCCACTGAACACAGGCTGCATTTGGATTAGATGCATTTAAAAGTTGTTACTTGTTTTATGTATCACTTTAGGTGTGCTGTTGAGAATTTGTGCCTATCAAGGACATTGTCATAAAACAATCTGACATAGAGTATTGAATCATTCCCTTATTTCTGGGGAGCTGACTTCCTAGTGTGGATTATTCACTATCTTCAACTTTATTCTTGTGATAAAAGTCTTCCTCTATCTGTGGTTTTAGTGAATGTGTCTCCTCTAAGCACAAAGGACCCGGCCAGCTCCAAGCTGATGACCTTAAGTCCTGACATTATATTTCCACTTGTGATCCCATGCCATGAGAGAGGAGAGGTCCCAAGAAATGAAGAGGCTCGAGACTTTCATCCCTATGTCCCATCTATCCTACACATCTATCCCCAGTCTCCATCTGGGTGTCACAAAACAAAAAAAGCAGCTGAAAGTTAGAGACAAGATTCTCTATATTCCGAGGTCCCAAATCCTTATTTGCAGCAAGGAGCCAGACATTCAAATAAATAGTCTGTCCCTCGGACCAAACTGCCATCATCTCAGCTTCATAGAGCAATTTGTAAAGGCCCCAAAAACATATCTGCTTGTCTATGACTTTTCTATTTTATCTAGAGGCCTAGGCTAAGAAAAATGCTAGAAAATGCCAAACCAGATGGTACTATGTTCCTTAGTTACCAGGCTCCTCACGCACTAGATGCATACCTTTGCTCAATTCACCCCGTTCACACTCATTGCTTGTATAACAATTTCATTATACAAAATCTCGTTCTCTAAACTCTCTAAGCTGCATTTATCTTTCTATAAGCTTTCATCAATATCTCAAATCATATTACATTTGTACTTATCATTTTAACATCAAAATCCCACATTGGAATTAAGCACCTTGAAGGCACCTTCTTTGGCATTCTAGGATCACAACCAGTGATAAGAAGAGAGCCTGACAAAGTGTGTACTCTATAAATATTATTCAGTGAATATACTAATTAGTAGATTAAAGAACAAAACAATAGACAAAGAATGTCCAACATGACTAGCTTTCCCTCCACTCATTCTTTCCTAAAGCATTTTCCAGTCAACTTCTAATCTCTCTCTGCAGATCCTTTACAAAATGAGAAGTGATAAAGGAAGAGATGAAGAGGGAGCAGGGTGCTGGGTCTCTCAGGCAGAGAGCTATGCCTAACCCAGCACTGCACATCCTCACCCTGCTCTTCGCTATGGAGGGATGATCTGAAGGACAGCTGATCTACTCTGCAGCTGCCTCCCTTTACTCCTTCTTTGAGAAGCCAGCCCAGCTCAGCCTTCCCAAAGAGATGCTTTTCTCTTCTCTCCTTCACAGAGGAGAATCGCTTGGAAGACATTCATCTCAAGAGAAGGGGAAGGATCAAAAGGTCTCCTGTCCTTCAGGCATCAACCACCACCCCCAGATGGCTGATACCAGGCAATGCTTGGGGGGCAGCCTGATTCTGTCCTCTTCACTCATAATGAGGAATAACTAGCCAAGCACAGAAACTGAAAGTACAGAAATAATGGTGCTAAGAGGAATCTGGCTGTCCCCCTGTCTCTCATTCTCTCTGCCTCTTTCCTCCTCTCCCTTGTCTACCCTCAAGGATGGTTATTCACTGAAGGAAAAATTTGCACAGGTTCAGAGACACACCAGTCAAGGAAAGACTGAAGACACTTCCACTCTTCCCACCTGAGGCTAATCAAGTTGGACACCATGGTGTTCTGTGCAGTGGGCGAAATTGAAAGCTCCCAGTCAGCAGCTTCTCAAAACCCAGGCTGCCTTACTCCCTGGACCTTCCTTACCCACTACCATACAATCCCAGATGTCAAAATCAGCCAATGCAGCCGCTACATGCTTCTCCCTGATTACATGGACCCGTACAGAGCCGAAGCCACCCCCAAGCTGTGACCCCACAAGTGGATTCAAGACTTGTCAAAAACCTGGTGGCCAAATGGACTTCTGTCCAAATCCTCTCTTCATCTCCAGGGTTATGAGAAGCCCGTCTTTCCCAGATGATCTCTGCCCTCTCTGTACCCCACATCCTCTGATCATAGTTATGGATCCTGGTCAGAGATCCACAGAGAGGATCTGCCACCTACTCTACCACCAATGTGTTAATGTCATGGCCCATTCCCATCTCTCCAACATGCGTGCATTCCAAGTGGGGTTGTTCAGTCATACATTTCCCTCTAGGTCTTCAAATGCGATTGGGTTTCAGAGCCCTGTTCAAAAACCTCAGCTGCTTGGATGAGGGATAAAGGTTTAAAAAATATTCAAAATTAATCCCAAAAGTGCTACATAAAAATGAGAATGGCTGAGATGCTGAGGAAAATTGCAAAATCACATCTGAAATATTTATTATTACATTGGCATAAACAATTGCCATTTTACATAAAATGAGTACAAGTCATAGTTAAAAATCAAATGGAATGATGGAACATCAATGTCCCTCTCCCCATCTGCTTGAGTCTTCTGATCCATTTCCCAGAGCTAAATATTATCACAAATTTCTAGCATAATAGATAGAGAATTGTCTGTATTAACATATTCAATCTTGATGTTATTAAGGAGTGAATTCCTCTTACAACTGCTGGTTGAGAAAATCTCCAAGAAGGCACCATCACTGTTGCACCTTGGACCAGAAGCCTCAAGAAAAGGTTAAATCCTGGAGTTGGACTTGGCATCACTCATGGAAATCATATGGGAAACTGAGGCTTTGAGAAAACCAGCGAAACACAGGACAATATAGGTGAAGATGACCCAGCACCTAGATTCAAACATCTTGGTCAGTTGTCAGAGAATGAATGATTCTTTTCTACACATTTCACATTCAAATATCTCAGCATTGTTTTTAATAACCATGAACATCTTTTACATTTTTTGTTGTTAAATTTATTTTTTTAATTATATGTATTTGTTTTATTTTTATTTATTATTACTTTTTTGACCATACTGGGTCTTTTTGCTGCATGCAGACTTATGCTAGCTGGGGTGAGGAAGAGCTATTCTCTAGTTGAGGCTCAGGCTTCTTATTGTGATGGCTTCTCTTTTGCAGAGCACAGGCTTTAGGGTACACAGGCTTCAGTATTTGTGGTACATAAGCTTAGTTGCCCATGGCACGTTGGATCTTCTGGGCTAGGTATTGAAACCATGTCTCCTGCATTGACTGGTGGATTCTTTACCACTGGACCATCTGGTAAGTACTATTAAATTTCTTTTGTGAGATGTATTTTAGCTAGAATAATGTGTATAAATGAATATATTCATGTAACTACAATAATATATATAAATATACCCACTTAAAAAAAGAAAGTGATTATTAAAAGCTAAAAGTTACATTGGACCATAAACTACTTGATGATGAAAATGATTATTTCTGATTTGAATCAGAGCTCTCATTACTCAGGCCCAAGATGATGAGTCCATGGTGGTCCTTACAACAGCTAAGCCTTGAGGAGTCCATAGCAGCTTTTTGCGGCATCTCGAAACACCTCTGTGAATTTGTCATTTCGGAGGGTGAAGATAAAAGGATTCAGAAATGGGGTCACCACTAAAACCATCAGTGATGCTACCCTGTTGTACTCAGCGGCCTGCGTTTGCTTGGGTTTCACAAAGAGGAACAAACAGCTGCTGTAGCCGATCACAACACAGGTGAAGTGGGAGGCACAGGTAGAGAAGGCTTTCCACCGGCCAGATCCTGAAGGGATCTTGAGGATGGTGGAGATGATGTAGAGGTAGGAGACGATTGTAGGGCTCAAAGAACCAAAAAGTACAAAAGCAGCCATTAAAAAAAGAATAAATTCAGTGAAAAGGCTATTATCACACGATAGTTTGAACAGCTGTCCTCGGTCACAGTAAAAATGGTTTAGCACATTTGATTTGCAGAAAGTAAGATGAGACGTGGCATAGACTGGCCAGATTTCAAACAGGAAGCCAAATACCCAGGACACAATTACCACCCAGAGACAGGTGTGGCTGTTCATAACGATGTTGTACCACAGAGGGTTACAAACAGCCACATAACGGTCCACAGCCATCGCAGCAAATAATATGAACTCTGACGTTCCCAAAGACAGGTACAAATACAGTTGTACACAACAGGCAGTCAAGGATATTGCCTGCATCCCCGGAAGGAGCAGACCCCAGAGCATCAAGGGGACAATCACAGTTGTGGTCAGCATCTCTAGGACAGAGAGGTGACCCAGGAAGAAATACATGGGGGTCTGCAGACGTTTATCAACACAGACCATAAAGATGATGACCATGTTTGCAATTAATGACACAGAGTAGAAGAAAAAGAAGGTGGCAAAGAGAATATTGTGTAGTTCTTTAGAGCCAGGGAAGCCAAGGAGATAAAATTCAGTGGCACTAGAGTAATTTTTCAACATTTAGCTGAGTGCTTCTGCTCTTTTTGAAATCTAGAGGGCAAAGGAGAGACAACATGCTGCTAATTTCAAAGCACTAAAGACATTCACAGGTTGACAAGATATCATCTCTTGCTCTTTCAGGCTGTACAGAATGACCAGGCTGGTTCATATTTCACTATTCTCTGTACAAAATTGATGTTAAGTGTTTTATAAACAATATGTGGGCTTCCCTGGTGGTCCAGTGGTAAAGAATATGATTGCCATTGTAGGAGACATGGGTTAGTTAGTGGATCCAGGAAGATGTCCTGGAGAAGAAAATGGAAACTCACTCTAGTCTTCTTGTTTGGGAATTCCCACAGACAGAGGAGCCTGGTGGGCTACAGTCCGTGGGGTCACGAAGAGTCGGACACAACTTAGTGACTAAATAACAATAACAAGTATGTGTACTATATCAGTATAAGTGTGTATCTCCAGTAAGATAAGAAATCATCACCAATATCACTCTATGCATAAGAACACACCAACCAGAGGAATCACCTTTGTCTCTCAATTCACTGGACAATCTGCCTCCAACTCTGCCACCATTCCTGACCACCCTGTCTACTTCCATCGCCACAACATACTCATTTAGAGCATGACCCCTTCCATCCTGAGTGTCCTAATCTGTCTTCTGGACCTGTTACATCCACGCCCTGAAATAACTGTTGCATCTCAACAGTTCCAAGAAAGTATTCCTAGTCAATCTCACTTGGACATGGTTCCTTCTCCTTCTTTCCTTTGAACACAGATTCATTTGTCTTATCTTCCCTTTAATGTTTTTTATTCAGTTATCTGTATCATCATTTCTGCCTCTTGGGATGATGACAGGCACGGAGCTGGTGTCCACTCAGGACAATGTCATTAAGATAAGAGCTATTTTGAGACAAACTATTGAGTCTTTTCCTGACTTCTGGGCAGCAGGCTCCCTGGAGTGAGCCATCCACTTCTTTTTCCTTATTCTTATGGGAGAAGTCAATTTCTACCTCTCATTCCTGCAAGCAGGAAAAGCCTCAGCAGCTCCCAGTTTGTGATCTCCAGCTCTGAGATGCTGATTTCTCTTGTCATAAGAGTGTAGGGGAACAAGAGGAATGAAGACACTGGGACTTTTCTTGCCAACTTCATCACTCCCATCTATCCTGCATAATCTGGAACCAGGAACTAGAATTGTGACTTAAGGTAGCATCCATTGGCATTCTGGTGTCTCAAATTTCTAGTTCTAGGAAGAAGAGACTTCCAAATGTGTAGTGTGTCCTTATTTCCAACCAGCTATGGCCTGAGGACCATAGGAAGTGCGGAAAAGTCCCCGGAGAATATTGGCTCGTCTATGTCCTCCATTATCTCCTGATTCCTACAAGTAAGGAAAAGTGTCAGAAAACACCAAAATGGATCACCCTGAGTTCCTTAAGATAACTGGATTCCTTCCCTCATCACATGCAGCTCAGTTCTCAAATGTGTCTAACCCTGAGGGCACTTACTGAATCTCTCAAGAAATACATGTGCTTCTTTAAACTCTGTCCTCTCTTTAGACTGTATCTTTCTCTTATGAGCTCACATCATTAGCTGGGAAAGACCTCGACGGAGTCTGTCTTTCTTGTTCATCACCACAACTCCAGTGCTAAAAACACAGTCTGACACAGAGTGAACAAGTACTCTTCTAAGTTTTATGTAGTAAATACATCAATGAATGAATCACTAACAGGTCAATGAATAGAAAGGGATATCCATACTGACCTACTTTCCCTCTTACTANTCTATCTGGCATGAAGTGAAGGGACCAGATGCCGTGGTCTTAGTTTTCTGAATGTTGAGTTTTAAGCCAACTTTTTCACTCTCCTCTTGCACTTTCATCAAGAAGCTCTTTAGTTCTTCCTCACTTTCTGCCATGAGGGTGGTGTTATCTGCATATCTGAAGTTATTGATATTTCTCCTGGCAATCTTGATTCCAGCTTGTGCTTCTTCCAGCCCAGCGTTTCTCATGATGTACTCTGCATATAAGTTAAATAAGCAGAGTGACAATATACAGCCTTGACCTAATCCTTTCCCTATTTGGAACCAGTCTGTTGTTCCATGTCCAGTTCTAACTGTTGCTTCCTGACCTGCATATAGGTTTCTCAAGAGTAGTGTTTACTAAATAAATATTCACCTTATGAAAATGAACACCATTTAATTATTGAGTACCTTGCTCAAAAACATTACATCTTTTCCAGTTTTTCACAAGTATAATGATGCTGCAATAAATACCTTCACTTGTAACATGTACATTTGCACAGTAATAGCTTCCTAAATCATATTACATATATTAACTGATATACAATCAGCTTCCAAAAAATGGTATCTATCTATAATCTATTGAAATGAGATTCTGTTGGGGCCACCCTGACAGATTTCCACAGAAAGTTGCAGGAAATTTTTATATCCGTGTTCACCATGTGAGTTCCCAGTATGATACTAACATATGAGGAGTCAGTAATTACATCGTGAAAGAAAGACACATCCCAGAGGTGTTCATCTCCATGGGAACAGTGCTACCAGCTGCCCAGTCCACCACTGTCCCAGTACTGCTTGTTAGCCTCTGAGTTCCAAACGTCAGTTCCTATCATGACTGTTCATTGAATGTGAACTGAGGCTGCTGGCACATGAGGAAATCAGAGGTAGGTAGGTACTTTCTCTCAGAACCTCTATTGCACAGGCAGCTTCTCTAATTCAGGCCATGGTTCATTGACCCTAGAGGCCCCTCCAGTGTTGGTGAAGGCCACAGGAGCCAAACAGACACTTCAGAAGTAGGAAGCAGTGTATACTAGCAAACCCCAAGAGGAAAACTTCTGTCAGTTTCTTCAAGCTAAGGATATACCTACCCCCTTGACACAGCAATTCTGCTCCCAGGTATTTACCTAAGAACTGAAAACACATCCTCACAAAGATCTGATTTAATGTTCATAGTAGTTTAATTCATTACCTCAAGTGACACAAAACAAATAGACCCACCAAGAGAATGGTACAGTCAATCCTCATTATTCACACATTCATTATTCACACATTCATTATTCACACACTCATTATTCACACATTCATCAACTCACAAAAACTTATGTATAGCTCCAAAATCAATATTCCCAAGCACATTGAAGTTCGTTAATCAACATGGGCATGTACACTCATAGTAAAAAAATTGGAGTCACCTGGAGCACATGTTCTCAACGGAGGTTAAAGAAGGCAACAACCCTGCCATCTTGTTGCAGCTCCTATACCATAAGTAAATATATTTTGTGCTATTTATTTAGCAACATGTTTTTGGCATTTCTTTGCATTTTGTTGGTGATTTTGCTGCTTAAGATGGCTCTCAAACATAATGCTGAAATGCTGATCTCCCGGTGCTAAGTGCAAGAACACTGTTAGGTGCCTCGTAGGGAAAATAAGCTTGTGCTGTGCTTAGTCACTCAGTCGTGTCCGACTCGTTGCAACCCCATGGATTGCAGCCCACCAGGCTCCTCTCTCTGTGAGGATTCTCCAGGTGAGAATACTGGAGTGGGTAGCCATTCCCTCCTCCAGGGGATCTTCCCAACTCAGCGATTGAACCCAGGTGGCCCACATTGCAGGCAGATTCTTTACCATCTGAGTCACCAGGGAAGCCCAAGAATACTGGAGTGGGCAGCCTATGCCTTCTCCAGGGGATCTTGCTGACCCAGGAATTGAACCAGGGTCTCCTGACTGCAGGTGGATTCTTTACCAGCTGAGCTACCAGGGAAGCCTAGGTAAGTATTAAACAAGCATCATCATCTAAAATACCTGTTTGATAAACTTCTTTCAGGCATGAGTTACAGTCTCTGGGCTGTGTGTCAATATTAGTGAATCAGTAATACATATTAAGCAACATGTTGTTCAGCAGAACCAAACATAAAACGAGGTTATATACTGATTTGCTGATAAAAGGAAAACTAAATCAGTAAGTACAAATTTGGTGAGCTGGCAAAGAGTCAAACCTAGAATTTGTTATCGAGTCCAACATCAGTCTGCTCACCACAGGACAGACCAAGAAACCAAGAGACAACGTGTTGAGGCAAGGAATACTTTATTTGGAAAGCCGATTGACCAAGATGATGGCAGACTAATATCTCAGACCAATATTATGGGGGTTGTGCATGCCTGGTTATTTTATAGGACAGAGAGGGGGAGGAGTTGAGGAAGTAAAGACCATTATCTTGCAAATACCTCCCTGAATGGAGATGACAACATCCAACATCATTTCATTCCATCGCAAAGTGCTCCAATGACTTTGCCACTTCATGGGGTGAAGGACTGAGGAAAGAAATCACTACTTAAACCATTAGGGAAACAATAACTATGGAAACCATCAGGGAAACAACCATAATCAATTGTAAATTGTGTTCTGTGACTGTTTTGTCCACGTCCTGAAAAAACTGCTCTATGTGAAGAGATTGAAGAAAGTATCCCTGGGATTCCCTGTGGCCCACTGGTTAGGACTCTGAGTTTGCCCTGCTGAGAGTGTTAACAGGAGGAAAAGGGATAGGGCANGGGTTAGGACTCTGAGTTTGCCCTGCTGAGAGTGTTAACAGGAGGAAAAGGGATAGGGCACAACTTTTGAAAGAACGAACGACATACAATGACATAGCTTAAGGACACAATATAAACAGATTAGAATCAAATGGGTCCAAGGTGGAAGACAAGTCAACTTTGACTAGACCTTGAAAACACGCTATGGTTTTTCCAGTACTCATGTACGGATGTGAAAGTTGCACCATAAAAAAGGCTGAGCACTGAAGAATCGACGCTTTTGAACTGTGGTGTTAGAGAAGACTATTGAGAGTCCCTTGGACAATAAGGAGATCAAATTAGTCAATTCTAAAGGAAATCAGTCCTGAATACTCATTGGAAGGACTGATGCTGAACCTGAAGCTCCAATACTTTCGCCACCTGGTGTGAAGAACTGACTCACTGGAATAGAAACTGACACTGGGCAAGAT